CCTCACACTCCTAGGTGCAAGCCATCCTCCTGCCTCAGCCTCCAGAGTAACTAAGACTACAGGTGCCCTCCACAACATCGGCTGACTTTTCTACTTTTAGTAGAGACAGGGCCTTGATGTTGCTTAGGCAGGTCTCAAACTCCATCTCACACCCAGCCACCAGATACTCTTTAAATGTCAGCTGTTTTCGTGCCTGCCCAGGGATGCAGAAAAAAAGAAAGGATAAATAAAAGTCAGCTGGTTTCATAAAATAAATGACTTCTGAAAAGAATTAATCAGGTTGATGACCTTGTGTCAACAGAAATGAATGAATGAATTCTGGAAAGTCCTTTTCTCTTTGGAATTTATCTTTATGTGTGGCAACTGTATTCATAGGTTTGGGGTTTTGTTTTATTTTGTTTTGTTTTAAGCGGTGGGGATCTTGCTGTGTTGTCCAGACTGGAGTGCAGTGGTATAATCGTAGATCACTGTAGCCTGGAACTCCTGGGCTCAAGTGATCCTCCCACCTCAGCCTCCCAAGTACCTAGGACTATAAGCACATGCCACAATGCTTGGCTAATTTTCTTTTATTTTGAATTAATTAATTAGTTTTGAGACAGAGTCTCACTTTGTTGCCCAGGCTGTAGTGCCATGCATCAGCCTAGCTTACACCACCCTTAAATTCTTGGGCTCAAGGACTCCTCCACCCTCAGCCGCCTGAGTAGCTGGGACTATAGGAGTGAACCATGATGCCCAGGTAATTTTTCTATTGTTAGTAAAGTCAGGGTCTAGCTCTTGCTCAGGCTGGTCTCAAACTTCTAAGCTCAACCAGTCCTCCTGCCTCAGCCTCCCCAGAGTGCTAGGATTACAGGTGTGAGCCACACTGTCTGGCCATGGCTGATTTTTGTAGAAGTGGGATCTTGGCCCGGCATGGTGGTTCACGCCTATAATTCTAGCATTCTGGGAGGCCAAGGCAGGTGGATCGCCTGAGCTCCTGAGTTTGAGACCAACCTGAGCTAGAGTGAGACCCCATCTCTAAAATAGCTGGGTATTGTGGTGGGCACCTGAAGTCCCAGCTACTCAGGAAGCTGAGACAAGGGAATCACTTGAGCCCAAGAACTTGAGGTTGCTCTGCCACCCAGGCTGGTTGTGAAATCCAGGCCTCAAAGGATCCTTCTGGGCCCTCCAAAATACTTAGATTACAGCAGTATAATCTAAGTATTGAGCCACTGTACTGGACCTATAAATTCCAGGTTTTTAATTCTTTTTCCTAAGGTTGCATTTATCATACAGTACTATTACTTGTATAATCAGACCACTAGACTAAATACCTTAATACTGGTGCTTATCCATGTAAAAAATATATAGGAAAAAGTTAAAGTAATCAGACATTTCCCACTGTCTTTGATTTTTTTAAGGACAATAAACTTATTGTTTGAAGTATAGCTCACACTCAGAAAAGTATACAAGTCATAACCATAGGCCAGTGAATTACCACAAAAGGAGTATAGCTTGCAAAGCTCATCCAGATTAAGAAACAAAACATTACCAGCACCTTAGCCACTTGTCCCTCTCAGTCACTACCCTTACTGTTCTTCATAAAGGAAACCATTTGATTTCCCATATAGATTAGTTTTGCCTATTCTAAAACTAAATACAAGTGGATGGTACTGTATATATGTATTCTTTTCTATATGTATATATAGAATATATGTGTTCATCTGACATTGTTCAAAATTGTGTTTTTAAGAATCATTCAAGTTTGTTTGATATGACAATAGTGTATTTTGTTGTTGTATAATATTTTATAAATATGGTACATTTTATTTTTCCATTAACAAACATTTGAGTTGTTACTAATATATTCATACGATATAAAAATATATGTATTATATATTACATGCACATTTTTGTTGCATGCTTATACATATTTTTGTTGAATACACCTGGGAGTGATTTGTGTCATAGGTATTAAGAATACTTTTTGAAATTTAGATGCCATAAATCTCATTTTTTAGAGGGTACAGTTTAGTAGGTCTTAGTATATTCATAAAATTATACAGCCATCATCTCTAATTTCAGAACATTTTTATCATCTCAGAAACTATTGCCCCTGGGTGCAGTGGCTCATGTCTATATTTCCATCTACTTGAGAGGCTGAGGTGGGAGGATAACTGGAGTCCAGGAGTTCGAGTCCAGGAGTTCAAATCCAGTCTGGCCCACAAGAAGACACCTCATCTTTTAGAAAACAAATAATTAAAAATTAAAATTTTTTAAAATACCAAATTTATTACCAGTAACTTCCCATTCTTCCTCCCCTGCCCAGCCCCTGGAAATCCCTAATCGATTTTCTGTCTCTATGGATTTGCTTATTCCGTGTATTTCATACAAATGAAATCATACAACATTTGACCTTTTGTGTTTGATGTCTTTCATGATTCATCCATCTTGAAGTATGTGTAATTACTTAAGTCCTTTCTGTGGCTAATAATACTCCATTGAGTTTATACTCCACGTTTTGTTTATCCGTTCATCAGTTGGTGCACATTGGGGGTTGGTTCCACTTTTAAACTATTATGAGTAATGCAACTTTGAATTTTCATGTATGCATTTTTGTGTGGACATATGTTTCCAATTCTCTTGAGCATATACCTAGTAGTAGAACTACTGGATAATATGTAACTCTTGTGTTTTAACTTTTTGAAGAACTCAAAACTGTTTTCCACTGTGGCTATACTGTTTTATATTCCTACTAACAGTGTATAAACATTCAAATTTCTCCCCACCTTGTCTACACTTGTTATTATCTGCCTTGTGTTTATAGTGAGCCTCTTAGGTATGAAGTGTTATCGCTCTGTGACTTATGATATTGAGCATTTTTGCATGTGGCCATTTGTGTGTATAACTTCTTTACGAAAATGTCTTTTCAAATATTTTACCTACTTTTTAACTGTCTCATTATTATTGAGTAATAATACTTTATGTATTATGAACAGTATTTCATTTAATTCATGGTTTCAAATATTTCTTGTCATTTTGTGGGCTTTTAGCTTTCTTCATAATGTCCTTTGAAAAACAAAAGTTTTAATTTTGAGGAAGTCCAGGTTATCAATTTGCTTCTTTTTCTTTCTTGAGATTTTGGTGTAATATCTAAAAAAAATTATCTAATCCAAAATCAAAAAGATTTATGCATAATTTTGTAATTGGTTTTATAGTTTTAGTTCTTCCCTTTAGATCTTTTTTTTTTTTTTAGCCAGAGTCTCACTTTGTCACACCTTGGTAGAGTGCCATGGCATCATAGCTCTCAGCAACCTCCAACTTTTTGGGCATAAGTGATTCTCTTGCCTCAGCCACACAAGTAGCTAGGACTTCAGGAGCCCACCACAACGCCTGGCTATTTTTAGAGATGGGATCTCGCTCTGGCTCAGGCTGGTCTTGAACTTGTGAGCTCAGGGTATCCGCCCACCTTGTTTCTTTTTTCTTTTTTTTTTTTTTT